TTAAACGTACTTCGTTCGGTTACAGTATTGCTCAGTAAGACTAAATTGTACAAAGATTTAGATTTTGACAGTTTTAAAAACATTGTTGGAGAAGACAGAGTGGCAAAATTTAATGATTATAATAATAAGTCCCAGGAAATGACGATTTAAACGATACAATTTATAATCTTTGGCTAGCTTTTCATAAAGAAACCGATGAAAATATAAACGATATCAACACGCAGGTAGGAAGTATTCACGACGATGGGAAATTTGGAGAAATATAAACATAATTGATGAGCCAGAAGAAAGAGGAACAAAAAACATAGAAATATTTGAAAATATGGAAGAAAACGGAATAAGTAATATATTTATAGATAGTACCAACAGTATTATAAATATGAAACTGATAAAGAGAAAAACAAAATAATTGTGTCTATTGAGAGATGACATTGATATATCTACCCCCCCATATAGTAGTAAGAAGGAGAATGGGAGTATAGTAAAAGATATACCAAAAACATCTTCACCAGTTGAAGAAGAAACTTCACCAAATATTTGTGAAACAAAAATCAGTCGAAGAACAGTCTAGGAGAATGCTTATTTATTTTGACACTCCTGAACGAAAAGGGCTAAAAAATACGGAAAAATGCCATATAATATTAATTTATAAAAAAAAAAAAAAAAAAAAAAAGATAAGAAAGAAACAGAGAAACAAATGAAAGCGGAAGAACAAAACAAAAGAAATAGAAGAGAAGCTAAAAAATAAAAGACAACAAAGGAAATGGCTAAGGAGGAACGAAAGAAGAAAAAACGGATCCCTAAAAACGGAAAATTAGCCAGAGGTAAAACTGTTAAAGGGAGAAAATAGAACAGGAGGAATAAAGAAACAAAAAGTCAATGTGTTTTCTAACATTGTTTTAAAACCGGATATTTATGAAAATATAGCATATACAAATATTATAACACATGAAAACGATAATGAAGTGAGCTCGAACAACAAAATATATATTTTTTTTTTTGTTTGTGTTTTTTTTATGAGAATATTACAGAGAAAATATGATTTTTCTCTTAAAATACTTGATTTCAATTTCAGGAATTTGTTTGTTTGTGCATTATTACCGAAACTTGGGCTGGTCATAAATGCAATGAATGTGTTCGCACTTATCATCTGAAATGTATTATTAAGCACAATTTGCACAAATCAAATTCAGATATTTTCACTTGTTTGACTTTCTTAAAAATAGGACCTACTAAATACTAAAAGTTATTTGATATTTTTATATAAAGATATGTTTGATTTTCGTTGTTTTTGAATTTTGTTTATTTATAGAACAATAGTTTTACTACGCCTAGGTACTTACCTAGTGTTTGTTTTGATAGTTTTAATAATTTACTGGCGTTGTTTTTCATTATTATTTGTTCTTTAGTTCTGTATTTCGAACCTCTAAATAAATGTCAAAAACCTTTGTTGGTATTTTAATTTATTTATTGCCTATTAATTAAAGGTGTAATTGTAGAATGTATGAACCGGTGCTTTGCAAAGGTATCTAACTTAGGTGGCTAATAACTATATAATATTAGTGGGCTATGCTTCGGTAAAAGGGACAATAATTGTAATTTAAGTAGTAATTATCTTTAAAATTATTCTTTTAAATTTAGTTACACCATATATCATTTTTTTTTGTTATTCCATAAAATAGAAATATCAAATTTTTTAGTATTTTTATAGTTTTATGATTTAATGCAGGCATTCCTTATTTTTTGAATTAGTAACAAATTAATTCTCTTAAGGGGGCCAATCACTATCTACCTTACCCTATATGTCCTTCGGCCACACACCCGCCTTTAGCTGAGATTTTCTGACTGCAAATAACCAAATTATTTAACTCAGTCAACACATAACTTTTAAACCAATATTAAAAAAGGGTATATACAGGGTGGTTCCGGAAACTTCGGCAGCATATTCTGCAATTAAAAATAAATAAAAAAGATCGTATAAATGTATGTCAAAAATACTTAGTTTCGTAGATAAAGGGTGTAGATGTTTCATTTTTATTTCGATTTTTTCCAAAAAATTTCTGAAGTAACGTCAATATTTAGATGAAAATTGGTGTTTGGGAGTTTTTTTGACATGAGACATTTGATTGTCAACATGACTCCTACTTGTAAAGGTCGCCACCTACATATTTTTTAACTGGTTTGAGGAGTAATAACTTTTCGTCCCTACCTGTATGAAACTACTGAGTAAAAAATATACATTCACGACGTTTTTTACGTAAAAAAGATCTCTTGGTAAACATTGCTACGAGGTTCTCGAGATATTTGGAATCGAAATTATCAATACCTACCTGTAGTCATTGGCATAAAATAACCATGTTGATTAAATATGTAGTTTAGACTGAAATTATAAATTTGAAATGTTTTTGTGCCAATGGTTCAGCAGAAAATGTTTTATCATCATTTTTTCGAATAAAAATTTATGATTAATGTAAAAAATAATTACATTAATCATAAATTTTTATTCGAAAAAATGATGATAAAACATTTTCTGCTGAACCATTGGCACAAGTTTCCAAATTTATCATTTCAGTCAAATAACTGTCTACTTGACATCTTTTTTTAATAACGACATGTAGTGAGACATTTTTTACGTAAAAATCACGGAAATGTATATTTTTTCAGTTATTATTCTTCAGTACAGTTAAAATACATGTAGATGACGCCCCCTACAAATGGGAGTCATATTGACATCAAAATCAAATTTCCCATGTCAACAAACTCCCAGACACCAATTTTTATCGAAATATCGACGTTACTTTAGAGAGTATTTGGAAAAAATTTGAAAAAAAACGAACTAAAAATGAAACTTCTACACCCTCTATCTCCGAAACTAAGCATTTTATCTGCAGAATATGCTGCCGAGGTTTCCGGAATACTGTTCGGACCACTCTGTAAAAAATAAAATACAAACGTTTGCCTTTTTTGCTAACTCGTATACTTATTTATCAACCCCGGTACATAAATCACTGGTGACTGAGTATCGACGATCGACGCTGTCCTGATATTCAATCCCTTTTTATTTACGTTAAGAGAGGAAGCGTTAATTATCTCAAATACCACTCTTTTTCAATAATGCCAGTTGATATTGGAAACCGTTCATCGCGATTAATCCCCTAATGGGTATAAATAAAACAAAAGGAGGATTAATGCAAATTTATACAGTTCCACAGTGTCGATATCTATCATTGATTTTTCCATCCATTTTCCACGAAATTTCTGGGAAACTTCTAAATAAATATCAATTAAACCAACATATATATTCATAGCTAAAATTTAACAAAAAGCTCTTCATTTAATGTGAAAAAGTCTTATAATATTTGTTTTAAGAATAATGGAAAATACTATAATGGTATAAAATGCAACAGTGGTACTTTTTTTTATACATAGAACTATGGAGTTTCTATCCCGATTGAAAAAAAAATTAGATCCTGTACTGGAAGTAACCTTATTCTAATGCTTTTAAACAAGCTAAGAGCTTTCATGTTAATATTTTTTGTAAATAAGATATTTTATATACCGTGTGCGTCTCAAAAGTAGCTCACCCCTATAACTTTTTTATTTTTTCAGATAAAACAACGAGATTTGCTATGTTAGTATATGACATAAATTGGGATTGATTGACGTATTCAATTGTTTTCGGTTTCACCGGAAATGACTACAATTTTTGATTTTTAAATGGCACTCCCGGTATTTTTTTTACTTTATTCGATAGAAAATGCCACTCTGAATCGAATGACATATCACATGACAAT